ACTCTGTTAGGTAAAATAAGCAAGGGTAAGACTATAACGGTCCTAAAATTTTTAAAGTTAAATACCTTAGCAGATGAAGACTTCCGATTTCCAGAACCAGAATGTTTTGGCTTGGGAACGCTTATCGGACTCTCTTCTAGAGAGACCGCCTCCAAAACTGGTCCCACTGAAGAAGATTTATCTTCGACTTTCTTGTTCTTAGGGCGCCGTTTTTTGACAGTAGTGGCTTGATTACCATTGCTAGCACTAGCAGGTGAGGCTGCTGTTGATAGTTCCGCCTTGATGCCACTGTTACCATCTCCAATAACTGGTTCAGTAGAAGTCACCACTTCAGCTTCCGAGGAAGCCAAAACATTATGCTTCTTTTGGTTCTTATTAAATTTCTTGAAACCTAATTTCTTCCCACCAGCCTTCTCGTCACCACCAACAATGTTATCCTTACTTACAGTATTGGGGACTTGAGAAGAATATTTCGAACCTTGTTTCCCATCCTGCTCCTGTTTTGGTGCATTGCTTGCTTTTGATGAGGTCCAATGCTGTTGTTCCGACATGGAATTTGATGGAGTAGGACTTTTGGGCCCCTCCACATTGGGATTTTTTGCCACCTCCTTCTGAGAACTGTACTGTTAGAAGACATGAGCAAGGGTAAGACGATGTTTAATTTTTTTTTTACTAGTTTAATACCTCAGCAGATGAAGACTTCCGATTTCCGGAACCCGAATGTCTTGGCTTGGGAAAGCTTTGCAAACTCTCGTCTACAGAGAACGTTTCCAAAACCGATACCGTTGGAGAAGATTTATTTTCGACTTTCTTGCTCTTTGGCCGCCGTTTTGTTTTGACAGTAGAGGCCTGCTTAGCATTGCTAGCAGGTGAAGCGGCAGTTGCCTTGATGGCAATGTTAACATCTCCAATAACTGTAGAAGCCACCACATCAGCTTTTGTGGAAGCCAAAACCTTATGCTTCTTCCACTTCTTATTAAATTTCTTGAAACCTATTTTATTCCCACCAAACTTTTCAACACCACCAACAATGCTATCTTTAATTCCAGTATTAGGGACTTGAGAAATATATCTCCTCGTAAACGATCTGAAACTATATCCAAAGGACCTTGAAGTGAAGCTGCTCCAATGTGTTGCATAACTAAGGGAACCGAGATGCGAAGGAAGTGCACAAGCTAACTTAAGACAGCTTGAATTTCCTCTTTTGAACTGAAGCTGTGATACATTTCTATACACTCTATCGACCTGAACTAGTGAAGAGGAAGAGTAAGCTGGGAAATTCTGAATCGCCCTGCACTGCAACTGCAACTGCAAAGAAACAAGCAACCGTCAGAATCTCCATGAGTTCTACTGATGAATTTTCAAACGCTTATACATAACAAAAACGAAAAATTGAAGCTCATTGAAACAAATTTGATTCCATTTCAATACTGAAAACAACGAAAGTATAAGGATTTAGCCATAAAAGACCAAACTTTTTAAATCGAGAATCTAACATTTCAAGTATCCCACCAGTGGAAGAGTGGAAACACAAACCTTAGCCATGAGAGGACGAAGAGACAGAACTGAAGTCGAAGAAGAAGAAGACTTAGCAGCCGCAAGTGAGATGGTTCTCTGCATTGAGAATACTCTCTGTTTGATCCAGAAACTTTCAAATCGTCCGACGAGCGAATCCGTAGCCTTTCATAAATCGAGCAGAAGAAGAGAGATCTTCTTGTTAATGGCGGAGATGTCTGGTAAAGAAATTCTGAAGGGTTTACTCAGTCTCTGGGGTTTATCTGCTTAGTGCCTTATAACTCGGGTCGGGTATGATCATTAGATTCACCCAATTACCCGGTCAAAATAGATTACGGGTCGGTTATTCGTGGCCCAAATAAGACTTCCGGATCCTAGCAGTCCTTCGCCTTCTTCTGCTCCAGCCGTATCCTTCAACTATTTTTCTCAGAAAGTTGCCTTCAACTATGTTTCTCAGAAAGTGATTGAATTAGGTATTTTGTCTCGCTCTCTCCAATTTGATTTACATAATCTCCAAGTTTCTTGCTATTAGGTTCGTGATTTCAGCTGTAGTCAGATTCTTAATTGATGTCGCTTTCTTGTTAAACTCTTCATGTACCCTGTGTATAGTTCGATGCTTCTCTTTGCGTAGATATTGATTCGATAATCACTTCTTTCGTTTTGAATGTCTACGAGAGCTTGGTTGTGTTGATTCATATGACCCAATTTTGAAAGCTTTTGTTTTTGCAATCTTCTCAGGAACACTAGCTGAATCTATAGGACACAAGCGTTTCAGAGTTTATAGATGGATCGAAGACAGCACGATTATGCTGCTTCTTCTGGGTTGCCTTATGCTCAGCAACAGCAGCAACAAGGCCCTAACTTTCAACAGCAACAACAACCGCAATTCGGATTTCGTCCACACTATCCTTCACCAATGAACGCTTCTGGTTTCATTCCTCCTCATCCTTCTATGCAGCAGTTCCCTTACCAGCATCCTATGCATCAGCAGCAGCAGCAACCGCAGCTTCTTCCTCATCCTCCTCACCCGCAGATGTTTGGTCAACAGCAACCTCAGGCTTTCCTTCCTCATTTACCTCCACATCACCTTCCTCCCCCATTCCCTGGACCGTATGATTCAACTCCTCCTCCTCCTCCTCCGGCGGATCCAGAGCTGCAGAAACGGATTGATAAGCTTGTTGAGTATTCGGTTAAGAACGGTCCCGAGTTTGAGGCTATGATGCGAGATAGACAGAAGGATAATCCTGATTATGCATTTCTCTTTGGGGGTGAAGGGCATGGTTATTACCGCTATAAGCACTTTCTCTCTATGCATCCCCCTGGAGGACCCTTTGATCCTCCATTTCCGTCATCTTCTATGCCTATGATACATCATCCGCCAAATCCCATGATGAGTCCTTCAATGAACAATGTGCCCGGTGCATTGGCTGTGCCACCAATCCGCCAACCTCCTTTCCCACCATTCCATGACCACCACCAGCATCTTCCTCAACCTCATCCTTTTGCTCCCCATGCTCGTCCTGATTTTGATCAGTCAACTCATGCATTCCGAGGTCTTTCTGGACCACTCCCTGCTGATGTTGCAATGGAACTAAATAGTGTCTTGGGCAACCTTAATGGCACAAAAGAGTCTATCAAAAGTGCTAAGATTTGGTTCATGCAGAGATCTCCCTTTGCACCAGCTTTAGCAGAGGCACTTAGAGACAGGGTCTTTGCAATGGATGATTCTGATAGGCAGATGCACATAGTGTATCTAGCTAATGACATTCTATTCGACAGGTATCTAAGCTTCATCCCTGATCTCTGTTTACATAATTCTAGAGGTCTTCTGCATAGACTAGTTTTTTTGTTTATTCTATATTATTAGAAATCTGTCCTTTCAAAATTCTGGTTTATTGATATTTCTGGGTTGCAACGTTATGATGCTTGATTGCTTTCTCATGTTTATTGCTTCCTTAAACACAGTTTACAACGAAGGACAAACTTGCACGAGTTTGACAATGAAGCTCTTGCTTTCAGACCTATTTTGGGTTCCATGCTCCGGAGGATTTACCACTTTCCACAAAACAAGGAAGAAAACCGGTCACGTCTGGAAAAGATTTTGCAGTTCTGGGCTTCTAAAGAGGTTTTTGATCAAGACACCATCTCCTCCCTTGAGAAAGAGATGAAAAGTGGACCACCTGCAAATACCTTTTCTCATACTCCCATTATAGCAGCAAATGCCTTACAACGTCCAGGTACTCCTGCTCTTCCGTGAGAGAGACAGAAACTGTAACTCCACCTACGTATAAAAAGAATTCAGTTTGGACTTGACCATACACCAACAACTTTTTATCTTTATGCACTTGCAGGAATGCTGCAACAGCCACCAAGCAGTAATGTCCCCACCACAATGAATTTAGAGCATCTGACTAATCCGGTCGCAACCCAACAATTTATCCCAAATGTGATGCCTCCTGGTGCCTTTCCCGGTTCCATACCGCTTAACGCTTCTGTTACACCACCAACCCAACCACCTGCTGGTGAGAAGCCGCCTCCTTATCCTCTCTTTCCTCCTGGTTTGATCCCTGGGATGGTCAGAAAGATGCAGATTGGTAGTGGTGTGCCTTACTCTCCATTGAGCCCTCTTGATATCCCAACAGTCATACCACCATCTGACACACCTCAATCTGAAGTACTCGAGAGAGTATCTAAGTTCTTCAAAGAGATAGGTGAGGTCAACCCAAGTGAAGGTCCCATGGGATCTGAATCACAGGACGACTATGATAATTATGAGCGGCATAGTCCACAGCGGAAAGGAGGTGCCTGCATTCCTCCACCTCCCAACCTACAAGTGGACCCTGAGACAGGAACATATGCGGATGGAAGCACCGATAAAAAGAGTGGATCTGGGAGATTGGGACTTGGGGCAACAGCTGATCCCAACGAACCAACTCAGTACGATGATGTTTATACATCTTACAGGAAACACAGAAGTACGAATTATCACACATCCATGAGTGCAAGAGCTACAACCAGATGAGATTCGGTTCCAGTTCCCATCTTCTAATGGCTAGTTCAGTCTGTTTACAGTCGAGCCTACTAGTGTCTAGTTGTTAATGTGACAAATGTGATCTTCTCTCAGCTTTGAAATAGAATTATCATCACATCCATTTATTCCCTTAAATTTTGGAACTAAACATAAAGTTTTTCTCTGCATATTCCCACTTTTCAATCAACATTATCAAAACCATGTTGGGTCTGCGTTTAAAATGTTGACGACATAGAACTGGTGGAAGCTGATGCAATGCAAGAGTAGTAGTTTCTCTTTCTCATCAGAGTTTGCTAATAAGTAAGCATTAAAAGACCACGTGTGGCATTTGCTCTGGAAATGGGCGCGAGAGACAAAATTATATATTCTTAGGCTAATTATAGGTTCTCTTACTTCATTATAATGATTATGTTTAGAGATTGGAATTGAGTTATTATATCGGACCTAATCTTACTTGTTCAGATAAAAGACTCGATATCAGTAGAAAGGCTCAGTGAAAGTAACATAAGCATCACACAACAAAAATCAAGATTCACTTGTACATAAGGACGAGAGTAAAAATCTCTAAAAGCTTCATGAGAAAAATTTGTGGAGTCTGACAATTATTCACTCATTAGCTTTTAGTTGAAAAGATATTAGGGTGCAAGCCTTTGAGGGTCACGAGGGAAGAGGGATGTTTTCCGGATGTTGTTCAGTCCACAGAAAAGCATCACCACTCGCTCCAGCCCCACTCCAAATCCACCGTGTGGAGGTGCACCGTACCTGTAAACATTATTTGTAGAATTGTCTGCTTAGAGAACAACTCAGATAAACAAGCTACAAAACTGAGCTGGTCCAGTTTGTGATTTACCTGAATGAATCAATGTATGTGGATATTGTCTTGACATCAATGCCGAATTCCCCTGCACGTTGCTCCAAGATTTCTGGGATATGGACACGCTGAGCTCCTGATATGATCTCCTCACCTACGGCAGAACACGTAAACTTGGTATCAAATGTGCAGTAACATAATTGGTGAGAACAAACAAGGTAAAAAAGAATAACTCAAAGATGTACCTCTGATGAAGACATCAAAAGAGTTGCTGTAAAGAGGATTATCGGCACAAGTCATTGTGTAGAACGGCCTAACTGCCTTAGGATACCGATGCAGAATATAGAACTCAGTGTTGTACCTGTTTTTATTATCGAAAAATCAACATGTTAGTGTAAGAACAACTTTGTAACTACGGGAAACAAAACTAAATCAATTTTAAAATGAAAAGAATATCAAACAGGGGTAGACAATAGTGGTGACCTACTTTTCCAATACAAGCTGGCCGAGTTTTCTCTCAGATTCAGTGTTCAGATCGCCAAGAGGATCAACCTCCACACCAGCTTCCTGTCAACACATCAAGATTACAAAGTATTATTGATGGTCCAATCGAAAAACTCAGGTAAAATGCAAAAATTACAAGTCATACCTTAAGCATTTGAACCCCTTCTTCAAACGTTAGCCTCAATGTTTTTGGTAGAAACTGCAATTTAGTACCGACTTTCAGAATCCAATAAGATACAAAAACTCAGTTTCCAATATTCCTTGCTCATACTGCATATGGTTACCTTCAAAGGTTCAAATGGGTATTGCTTTCTAACAGCTTCCAGTTCCTTTTTGCACTTTTCGTTCAAGCTAGTGAATATAAACACAAATAACTCGTCCACAAGGTCCATTATCTGCATAAACAAGAGATATTAGCATCACTGGCAGAATAGAAGATCCTTGAAATAAACTAATATTTTTAATAGCAAATCTTACCTCAGAATAGTGTTTCCGAATCTCCATCTCCACATCAAGACCAACGAATTCACACAAGTGTCTATGAGTGAACGAGTCTTCTGCCCTGAAAACAGGACCTACCTCAAAGACGCGTCGCAAGTCACCACATATTGCCATTTGCTTGTGAAGCTGAGGAGACTGGGCTAGACAAGCAGGCTGCCCTTTGTATTCCAATCTAAATACAGCAGAACCTCCTTCACTACTACCAGCCATCAGTTTTGGTGTGTGGATTCCAACAAAATCCTTGAATATCAATTTTTCTCTGAAAGACTACACAAGTGACAATTAATTCAGCAAAGCAACATATAAAAATGCAACCAAATCATGGAAAGATAAAAAAAAATACTACTGATAAAACATTTCTGTAGTTGCTGTCCTATCCTAGTCATGATGCATACACAAATATTTGACCAAACCAGGCTCATATCTATTACTAAGATATGGAAACAGTAACACAAGTGATAAAGCTCTAATCCTCCTCCATGTATTTAAAAGATCAAGGCCCTACATTTTCGACTTGGCACTGAAGTCGGAAGATGGCTTGATTAGCTGGTGTTCTGAGGTCGAGCACCCTATGATTCAAACGTGTATCCTGATTGACACGAGCAGCTGGCTTTTCAGTCTGCATCAGTCATGAAAACAACAACTCTTGTGAACAAAATAATAGTTATCAGAAGAACACAAGTTAAACGAATTCACAGAAAAAATTGCACCAGGTCCAACTAAATCTCCAAATCTTGAAACAGCAAACTATACCTGAAGAGATTTTTCGATATCTGCTTCACTCCGAGCAGCATCCTCGACACTAAGTGGTAACTTTGCCAAGGCTTTGTTGATGCAGTACACTTTTCTCACTTGAATCTCAACCTGCAATTAACATTATCAATGAGTTAATATCACTATATTATAGCAAACTGAGAAATTGGGAGGAGAAGAAGACAAGGAAACTAAACCTGCTGCGTAGTTCCCGTCAGAGGCTCCTTGGGAAGAACGACGACACCGATAACATCGACAAAAGATTCGCGACTCAGCTGCTCCGAGTATTTAACCATGTTGGCACCCACTTTGGTCTTCTCCGATTGGCGAACCACGCACTGAACAGTTGATCCACTTTCCCTCAAGATCAAAAACCCCAATTTGCTAGACGTTGGACGATTAATGTGCACTCGGCCTCTGATCAGAACCTCTGATTCCACCATCTCTTCCACCAAATCGCTCACATCGGTCCAATCTTTTCCCTCAACAGCCTCTCTCCATTTTCCAGCTTTCGGATCCGCCGTCGATTGCAACTCGTTGAGAGTCACGTCGCCGTAGTTACTGGAATACTCTTCGTTTTCTTCGAGAGACATCGAAGCTGTCTTACGCGTTGCTTCATCTTGTTCCTGCCGACGACGTAACTTCTCTAGCTTCGCAGCTTCCTTCTTAGCCGCTTTCTTGCTAATCTTCTCTCCAGATTCCTCCGGCGCGGTGGTTGATGACGACGGCGGGATTTCAGACTCCGACGACATGATGAATGAATCAATTAGTCGACGGAAATGAAAACCCTACGGTTTATATATCTAGGTTATCAAAACTAAACAATTCGAAAAGGCCCCGTTAATGTTTATTTTATTTGATTAGACCCCAAAACTTTATAAATGGGTGTCCTTTAGTAAAGCGTGAAGAAGAAGCAACAACGCGCCGCCTCATACGACGACGACCCAATCATCCATTGCGGAAACGACCCGGTGAATGGACACGTGGTTCAAATGGTAGCGCGCGTGTGAAACACTTTCTATTGAAGAGAGTATTGCTCGGAAGCTGTCCCAATTAATAAAAAAACGAATTTGCCAGCAAAGGACGGACCAAAATTAAACAAAAATATTTAAAAAATAAAAAGAAAAAAGAGAAAAAAAGTAAATGGGAAGCGACGACTGACTCTTCCTTCCTCCTCCTCCTCCACCTCTTGTTTAGGTTTCTAGGTTCTTTAGCTCTGAAATTTGAATCAGAAGCAAGCTTTTGGATTGCGATCTTATTATTACTTTTGTGGGTTTTGATTTCTCTATCGGATTCAGATATTTTTCTCTATTTTCGATCGTTTTACTTATCCAGTACCCCAAGGCAAGGTTTTCGTGTTTGTTTCATGTCATATCAGCTGATTTTGGGGTTTATGAAGCTCTAGGTAATCTATGAGTTCTTGTTTTAGCTTATCTCATTCTGGAATTATCGGATCTGTGTCTACTTTTTTGGGTTTTGTGGGAAATGATGATTTTATTCTTTAATCCACGAGTTTATCTCATAGGACCTCTCATTTGTTCTCAACTTTTGTTTTCTTTGAAATGAAATTTTGAAATTCAAAGGTGAATATACGATTTTTATCTATTTGATGAAGTTGAACTGAGTTATCAAAGGTATCTGATTTCAGCTTTTCATTCTTTTACTAACATGTATATGTTTCTATTTTTAGGGTGTTGATGGTGTAGAGCATCACGAAACATAAACTTTCATTTCTTCTACCTTCTTGAATTTCTCTTCAAGGTAACTTCTTTTTTTTTTTTGTGTAGTTACAAAAGACAGTTATGGTAATAGTGATTGCTTGATCTGTGCTGAACCTGAATGCACGTACTAGTCATTTGTTTTTTGTTTTAGTTACCAATACAGATATCTAAATTGTGTTTCTCATATCTTTTCTTTTGTCTCCTTTACTATGGTCTATATTTTGCTCTAGGTGCATGTTGAAGTGATTCAAAGCGATCTACATGTGACTTGCAGCTCGGTCAGACATCAGACATTACACTTAATACGATATTGGAAAGGATGCTTGAGAATCCAAAGTTCAATCTGCACGCTGTTGGCAATCACAACAATGACAACAATTACTATGCCTTCACCCAAGACTTTTATCAAAAGCTCGGGGAGGAAGGTACAAACATGTCCGTTGACAGTATGCAGACAAGTAATGCTGGAGGGTCTGTGTCAATGTCTGTGGATAACAGTAGTGTTGGTTCTAGTGATGCTCTTATTGGCCATCCTGGTTTGAAGCCTATGCGCCATCCCTACTCTCTCTCTGTTGGCCAAAGCGTATTTCGCCCAGGGAAAGTTACTCATGCACTTAACGATGATGCCTTAGCACAAGCGTTGATGGATAGTAAGTATCCAACCGAGGGACTGGCAAACTATGAAGAGTGGACAATAGATTTGAGGAAACTTCATATGGGTCCTGCTTTTGCTCAAGGGGCTTTTGGAAAGTTATACAGAGGGACTTATAACGGAGAAGATGTAGCGATTAAGCTACTCGAGAGGTCAGACAGCAACCCTGAAAAGGCACAAGCCCTCGAACAGCAGTTTCAGCAGGAAGTTTCTATGCTTGCTTTTTTGAAGCATCCCAACATCGTTAGATTTATTGGTGCGTGCATTAAACCTATGGTGTGGTGCATCGTGACTGAATATGCAAAAGGAGGTTCTGTCAGACAGTTTTTGACTAAGAGACAAAACCGAGCTGTGCCTTTGAAGTTAGCTGTTATGCAGGCGTTGGATGTTGCCAGGGGTATGGCTTACGTCCATGAGCGCAACTTTATACACCGGGATCTAAAGTCAGATAACCTCCTCATATCAGCTGATCGGTCCATCAAGATTGCTGATTTTGGCGTTGCAAGAATCGAAGTTCAAACCGAAGGGATGACACCAGAGACTGGAACTTACAGATGGATGGCCCCGTAAGTTGGATAGTTTCTTGTTTTCCATCCTTGTCTTGTCTTAATAACCTTATATCTCTGCAAGTTATATATAGACACTATGTTCCCATCTGTTGATCGATGCAGAGAGATGATCCAGCACAGACCCTACACTCAAAAAGTGGACGTGTATAGTTTTGGAATCGTGCTGTGGGAGTTGATTACAGGTCTGTTACCGTTCCAGAACATGACGGCGGTTCAGGCTGCATTTGCAGTGGTGAACCGAGGCGTCCGTCCAACGGTCCCAGCAGATTGTCTTCCTGTGCTTGGTGAGATCATGACACGTTGCTGGGATGCAGACCCTGAAGTCCGTCCTTGTTTTGCAGAGATTGTCAATCTTCTCGAGGCGGCGGAAAATGAGATAATGACGAATGTGAGAAAAGCCCGTTTCAGATGTTGCATGACGCAACCAATGACAATCGACTAATCTGTTGTGAAGAAAGAGAGGAGAAGAAGAGAACATAAAAGGAAAAAAGAGAGAGAGAGAGAGAGAGAAAGCAAGAAGGTCTTTAGATATATGTAAGTTTGTGTGTGTATCTATCTATATATACATATCCGATTGTATCTCTTTTCCCAAGATAGGAGAAGTAACCCAACCATTTTAGCTACTGATTTTCTAGATTTTTTGTCTTCACAAAGAAAAAAAAAATAGATGTATGGTGATTGTCTGAAGTGTTTGGTTTAGTTTTCCTTGAATTTGATGATGCATACTTTTTTGCTTTTCTCCTTTCAACTTTCTACGATCATTATCTTCAATTCTTCATCACCATGGTCTCTCTTACGATGTGGGACAAGAGATATCATGATTATTGATCTGTTTTTTTTTTTTTTGGTTACTGATCTTCAAATAAACATGTAACTTAACAAAGAAAAAATAATACACGAACTTATCATCAAAACTTTGGATAGTAAAAATCCATCTTAGTGATCTGTAGAGCTCAAAAGTAAATAAGATTTAAAAAACCTTAGGAAGAACGAATATTGTCTCTATAATCATCTTCTTCGCCACTGCTCATGAAATCCTGCATCTCACCGTCATCATCATCATCCTCACCATCACCACCATTATCATCGTCTTCATCCTCACCTTCTATAATCCCCATAAAGCCACCGTCAAGACCGTCAATAAGAATCTCTCCTTCTTCATCAAAATCGCTCACACTATCTTCATTGTCGTCGCTGCTAAGGTCATCATCCCCACTATCGCTATCGTCTACACCTAGTCCCAGAATTCGGTCCAGGTCATCTTCCTCGTCTTCATCATCTTCATCTTCATCGTCCGTCTCATCATCATCATCGGGATCCGAGTCATCATCTGTTGGCCTCCGTCTACCAATCTCATACATCCTGGCCGAGGAAAACATATCTTCTTGGTCTTCCATTGTGATCAGTCCAAGGAACGAATCTGTTGGTTCTGTGGCAAAGTCAAGAAGACATCGGTCCACAGGTATAGTGGCAATGTCTGAGTAGTTGATCGCATCAAGAGTGCGGAAAGCAGCAAACAAGGGATGTTTCACACGGCGTGTGTGAACTGCAGACATTACGTCTTCGATGTTTCTCCTCAGCATTGCGTATATAACATCTCCCCTGGAGTTGAACGTAATAGCTGTCTGGTCCAGTGATGGTACACTTCGAAGAAGCTTGAAATTCCTCATGTCCCAGACCTCTGAGTTTATGATCACCTGTAATAAGCAACATGTTGATAAGCCAAAAAACAGCGAGTAACTTTTAACTATATTGTAGCCGAGAAGTTAATTTAGAATATTTGAAGCGGTTGTAATATGGTTCCGGAGCAGTTAGCCAGGGATTTTTATAAGGCTGTCTTTGACAGTTTAGGGAGTGGATTGTTCTAGGGTTTGGTTGAGAGTCCATAGCCTCTCATCAGGTTTGGTCATCTGGAATAGGAATGACAATTTCATAGCTTTGGTATTATCACATAATTCAGATTAAAGAGTAATATGATTTATCCATTACCTCGTTCCTAGAAGGATGAAAACCACCGCCACCATAATCAGTAAATTGATCAAACCGACTGACAGACTCGGGTATACGGCGGTCCCAGAGAACACCATTCCACAAAATTAGTGTATCACAAGGGCTGAAGTGTACAAGAGAATAGGGATTACTTCGAGAAGATGTGACTGTGTCAGTGAGTTTATCGCAAGGACTGCAGGTCTGTACATCATATAGAAGAACATCTTTTGTTGATGCTTCACAAGAAAGTGCTGCAAATTGTAGCCCAGAGTTGCTGAATTTTGCAGCCTTGCATCCATCAAAGGAGTGTCTAGGCCCACCAGTTATAGAAGACGCGTCCCACAACTGTACATCACTGGAGCTCGAAGAAAGTAACAACTGAGTATCCCCAGAGACATACGGCTGAACAAGTGTAACCGGAGCCTGGTGACCTGAGAAACTCTCAAGCAAGGTTCCGCTGCTAGCTTCAAATATCTTGATTTCTCCAGCATGACTACCGACTGCTAAATGATTAGTACCACCAAGAAGTGCAATGCATGTAAAGAGAGCAGTCTCATCCCGGAAAGATCTCCAAGATTTGAATCTGCTGAAAACAAATTGACGATCCCTGCGATTACCATGGACTCCACTGTAGAAACTTTGAAGCTCACGGGTCCCAAGACGGCCAGTGATGTTTAGTGGAGCTTCAAGTAACCGTTTAGGTTCAGGACAGACATGCGGATGTAGGAGAGACACAGGGGGAAGAGTTGTTATTGGAGCCAGGCACTGCCTGTGTTGGTGCTTCAAATACTGAACCACAAGGGAGTCTAGTGATAACCGTTCTGGATTTGAAGGCTGGGGATCACTTGGAAGCCTTAGCTGAGAAGCAGGTGTCATCTGGCCCAGTCTGGAACTCCCAGATTGGTTGGCATCTAAAGCTGAAGCTGGTGTTTGCAAACCTGAGCTTTCCGCAATGGTTGAATTCCTACGCAAGGAAGATGTGGTTGGACAAGCTGGAGATCGTAGTCCTAACTCACCCAAATTGATTCTTTTACCCGGAACTGACAACTCTGGGTCTCTAAGCTCAGACAATTTCCGTTTTCTTGGAAAGGAAATCGGGGTCTTAAATTGAGCATCGGCATCAAGATCGTTCTTCAAAACTAATTCTGCAGCAGTTTCTGATGTATCTGCCCAAGCAGGATCTGAATTCGAACTACTATTTATTCTCTGTGTAGACTGAGGTTGAGCGTCATGGGAGAAAGATTGCTTTCGTGACTGCAAACTAAAACTGGGTGAGAAAGTCAACTGCTTCTTCTTTGCAGATGGAGCAGCGTTACCTCTCGAACTAGGATCTTCATCAAGTGCATTGATTCTGGGTATGCTGGGGAAAAACCCACTGTTAGCACGGCCTGATGGCCACTGTTGCTGTGCTACTGGTGTGGGTATCTCCAGTGTCGAGGAAGCCAAATGCTTCTTTTTGGCAGATATAGCCGCATTACATCTAGAATTAGGATCTTCGTCATGTGCACAGACTTTGGGTTTGCTGGTGAAAAATCCACTGTTAGCACGGCCAGAGGGCCATTGTTCCTGAGCTAGCGGCGTAGACATCTCCTGTGTAGAGGAATATGCAATAGAAGAAGGGGAAGCCAATGAAGGTAGAGGAGTTAATTGAGCCTCTTTTAACAGTGCTGAAGCAGTTTCACCAAGACCTGATGCCTGGAGGTGCTCATGGATAAGCAGCAAAAGCTCCTTAGAATCATAAGTTATAGGCGTTGCTGCTGCAATGGCAGCTCTTTCAATGCGCCTCAGTGTTGGAGTAGCAGCATCACTGGCTGTTAGTGTAGTCGCATGCCCTGAATTTGTCACAATCTACAAACATGCATAAAACACAATTAAAATGTCTGCAAAACTTCAACAGAGAAACAAAGAATGAAAAAAGCACTAATTACTTATGAAGCATACCAAAAGAATCCCATAGAGACACATTAAACAAGAAAAATAAATCAATTCAGATGATTACCCCTATTAGCTCGAGCGCCACCTGAGCAAGTTCAGCCTGCCATCTGCCCTGATCTGTGCCACTTGACTGACCACCTGAATCCCGAATTAGTTCTGATAAACTCTTACCAACCTAGAAACCATGCTTGGAAAATCAGTATCTATTATCACCAAGGATGCCTGCTCAACTTCATAAGATGCATCTCAGATATAAAAGATGAAGATAACCGGGAAAAGAAAATTGCTATTCTACCTCAAGTTTAGTCAGTATTTGTGCAATTGTATCATCTCTAGCCAGACCAAGAAGTACCCTGCAAGCCAGCGCTCGTAGACAATCTGGGGTAGCAGGGGGATTCACATATATTCTGGGCTGAAGAAGTTTTAAAAGAATTTTTATACCATCATTCCCACGAACAGCTTCACGGGCTTGACGATAAACCTGCTCCAACTTAGCAGCAAGGCCAGCAGAACCAGTTCCTGCTCCTAAGAAAATTCTCCGATCCCCAACCAAACCTGAAGATGCTGGTGCAACAGGAGTTTGCGGAGCATTACCAGTGGACTGAGTACCTACAGCAACATCAGTAGAGGGACGGGTAGTGGCTTGGCCGGGAACAGGTTGATGATTTTGTGCAAGGGGCGGCTTATTGCTTAATGATGGTGGTGGGCACACCAGATTGATTAGGACATTTAGTGCAGGCTGAATGATCTTCAATAACAAACAAAACATGAAGGAGGCAAGTATCAATGAGAAACAGAAGAAGAAGAAAGACAAAACCCATGTGAATAATGGATAGAAGCGGACTACTGACCTCAGGGTCTACTATGCTGTTGGAAATATTTGCTGCATCCAGAATGACAGCAATGCCAGCACGATTGTTGCTGAGTGTGGCATGCGCAATTGCTTTGCGGCCATCAGGTATTGATGTAACTATGTGAAGAACCCCAAAAGCATACTGAAGTAGATCATGCAGATAACGGTCTACTGGTGGAGTCTGCGCATGTGACCATAATGTTAATACATGGTAGACAAACAATGTATGTGGAGAGTAAAATGCTACATTACCTGACAAAGTTCCAACATGGTAACATGTCCAGAGGAGGCCAAAAAGTTATTGACAGCAGGCCACTGAGTTCGCACAAAGGTCGGACCCAACTTCCTATCCTTCTGTAACTGATGGAAGATGGCATCAACAGCTTCATTGCTGATGTCAAGGGGCTTATAGGCTGCCCTTATATTAGGAACATTTCGCACACCACCTCGGCTACTTCTGCTAGGACGGATTGAATCAACAAGCAAAAGAAGATGAGCTCTAAAATACTGGCGCAAAGCAAAACACGTGTGGAAAGCCATCTGTTTCTCTGAGGACGTCATGACTTCAGGAGCTGATCGGTCAGAATTAGCACCAGTTCTAACTGAGGCTGCATCTTTAAGAATTGCAAGGAGTTTCTGCAAACTATCATGAGCATCAAATGCATCTAAAATGGCTCTAAAGACAAAAGCAGCAGCAAAGAATAAAGCTGAATTTTTTCTGGCTTGATCCTGGGAACAGTCGAGAAGTTCGATAGCTAATTTAACAACTTGATGTATGAGATCCGATGGAAGTGCACAGACACGCTCCATTATACCCTGAGAAAAAAAATTGAAGGTAAGAAGAAGCAGGATTTGTACTAATTCAACGATCGTTGTACTTCTATTAGAAGTCGTACATCTGTTAGATGACGGTGAACAAAAATTGCATTAAAGTCGTATAAATTTGCTGTTATTATTACCTGAAGAGAGCCAATGGTGTATAAGCAAGATGAGAGACCATAAAACGTCTCAGAAACCCTTGGAACAGCAAGTAATTTTTGTATGCCACCCCGGTCAACAAACATCGCAGCAAACTTCCGGTGCGCAGCCAAAGCGCAAATTAACTTCATGACATCAGGTAACAAAGGAGACACTGTAGAACTATCATCACACTGGGATGTACGTTCCAGCAGCATAATGCATACATCAACACCTTTTTCATGCAGTACAGGCCCGAGAACCTCGACATATTCTCCCAGTATCTCAAGGCACTGGATGCAATATTTTTCTTGTAACTGAGCCAAAGATTCGATATCTGGAAGTGAAACTTCACTAACATCTGTTGTCTGATCAGATGTGACACAAGTAGGATTTCTGCAACCAGCCAAATAGCAGAGTTAAAGCCCTAAACAATTCAGGGATAAACAATTGATAAACAGCAATGATAATATCCACGACATCATAGCATGACTAACCTTGAAACCTCTGCAGCATCTATGACTGTAATAGCTGCTCGAGTAGCAGCCGACACAGCAGCTTCTTCACTGCCAGAAGACTTGAATTCCTGGATAATTTAAAAGAAAGACTATCAATATAAATATCAGGTCACCCTATACCAGAGTTTCATTAAGGAATGGAATCACTAACAGCTAATCAAAAAAGAAAAACATACCTCCAAAGCAGCAGTTTTAACAAGCTCTGCTGCAGCGTCGCCAGCTGCTTTAGCTGCGTCATCAGGAGCATGGGCAGCTCTAGCTTCCGTTTCTGCAGCTCCAACGGCTCTCTTTACTAGATCAATTATGTTTTTCGTTCCTATTATGCAACCTTGAAAGCATTCATCGTCATCCTCTCTCTCTATCTCCATTATACCAGACTTCATTTTCCCCAGACATATGGTCACATCTTCTCCATTTCTGCCATCTGAAAATTTTGATAGATCCTTATCTCTGACAACTGGACGACCTGATCTAGGAGATGCCAAGAGAACTTCTGTATCAGTTGCACCTTCGTTAACCCTTCCTCTCCCCCTCGATTTTGATCGGTTCAGTCTGTGTCTTGAAGGGTCATCTCTTCCACTATTGTCATCTCCAGGTTTAATTTTACAATCAACAACACCTGAAACATTAAATATTTCCCTGCCATCGATTTCGAATTCACCATCAGACTGTACATCAGTTTGTCCCATCTCTCTGCCAGAGTCCGTCTCAAAAACATGGTCACCTTCAACTGTATCCACAACCTTACGCACCCTACTTCGACCTTCTTCTTTTGTTTTTAAGGACACATGTTTAGTCTCAGTTGTGTGAAGGGCATCTCTACGGCTTGTGCTTGGCTCTCCAATAACTCGTACTCGAAGATAATGCATAAGCTTAGCAGATAGTCCTGATGTCAAAACGTCTTCAACTATTTGCCCACGACTTACATGAGTCAGACAAAAGAAAATATTTTTATTTCAGCTGTGAAAGAAATTGCAGAAACGGAAAGAAGAAACAACAAGTTGAGAATGTTTAATCAATACCTGGCGAGAGAGAGAGCAAGAAGTCCTGTAGAATAAGTCTTTAACATTTCAGAATCTGAGGCTTCCTTCCTGCCAGAGTCTTCACCAGGAAACTTGACTGCTTCTTCCATAACCCAATTTTTAAAGTTTTCGGTAACAGCATCGTCGAAAACATGAGGATACTGAAAAACAAAATTGCGTCAAAAACCAACCAACGAGGTAAACGTAAAGAAAAGGAGCAGGAAAGTCGTAAAGTTTTACCATCCAAGTAAGCGAACAGTTCATTAGCAATCTTGCAGAGGCTGCCTTTACGGCGGTTGAGTAAGAATTCTCAGATAGAAAAGTTGACGATATCAATTCAAAAAACTCATCATTTTCCTGCCAAAATCAAGTAATTAAATAAGAAGAAAGAACCCACCCAAAAAAAAGAAAGAAAAAGAACAACCTTTAAAAAAACTTACTCGGATGAGAGTACACAGCTTGCCACTGCTATGACTACCGCGAGCATTGGAGAAATGGCCATTCTCCTCTAAGAACCTGCGAATACAAGTAAGCATCAAGCTAAAGACAACTACAAAAAATCAAGAAGAGAGACTGATTGTTGAGCTAGAAAGGAACATACAGAGACTCCTGAGATTCGAGAAGATGACTAAGAGCGTGAAGGAAATTAGGATTAGGGTTATTAGCAACGGAAGTAATATCATCCATAAGCTTCTGCGCCTTCGCTATAAGCTCGTCCTCCACACTCTCTTCTTCTCCTTCCTGTTGTCCTCCTTCTTCAGGATTAGCTTCGTTGTTTGAATTCGCCAACTCTGTAATTGCCTCCGCCGCAACAACCGATTGTTCATCCTCAACCATCTGATTAGGGACCTCGGCATGCTCTTGCCCGTCCATAGATACCTCTCTTTTCAAAGAAAAACCCAGAAACGACGATCAATTCAGACGTTGGGATCGCGGAAAAAGAAATAGAAATTATTGAAAGGAAAAACGAAAAAGAGCTTATAGTTGTAGAGAGTAAGAAGCGCAGCAGAACAAGGAGGTGGTAGATGGAGACGACAAAGCTGAACCGACTCATTCTAAAATATGACCCGACCCGTTTTTTTCACTAAACAAACCCTAACCCATTGTTTTTTAAATAATGGGCCTAATATAAGCCCATATTTTGTATTGTTATCATGACGACGTCGTTTCATTCTCCGGCGACTGAACTTCTACTGGAAATGGATAGTGAAGGAGCTTCAAGCGAGTCTTCTTCGTCTGGGGATCAGCTCGAGAAGTGGATAGAGTAGGTTCCCATTTGATTTCAATTTTGATTCCGCATAATCAAATCGATTGAGGATTTGTTTGATTGCTTTCAGAGAGCAGGATCAGCTTAAGAAGAAACTGATTGCGTATGATGACTTCACATGGAAGTTATCTTCATCAATGGAACTGTCTCATGGATCGGAGATTCTTAAGTACGTTGGAGGTGTAGACATGAGCTTTTGCAAAGAAGATTCTTCCGTCGCATGCGCTTGTCTCGTCGTTCTTGAGCTACCTTCTCTCCGTGTAGTTCACCATGACTTCTCTCTCCTCCGTCTTCATGTTCCTTATGTCCCTGGATTTCTTGCCTTTCGTGAGGTTTCCTTCTTCGTGTCCCCGAGCAATGCTCTGCTAATTTCATTTGCTTCACTAAAGTATCTCAGATCCCAAAATTGGATTTTTCATGTTTCAGGCTCCGGTTCTTTTGCAGATTCTGCAAAAGATGAGGGATGATAAGCATCCTTTCTATCCTCAGGTTTCAGTTTTATCTATAAATTGCTTTAGTTTGCAATTGGCTACTCTTAATCCATTGCTTTTGCGTTGTCTTTTTTTTCTAAAAGTCTCTTGCTTTGCTCTTACAAAGGTACTGATGGTTGATGGAAATGGAATACTTCATCCACGAGGTATAAACATACAAAATTTCTTCGTTTACCTTAGTTATTTAGTTGCATTTCAAGCTCTGTAATTTATGGTGTTAGATGTAATTGTGTTCTATAGGGTTTGGTTTGGCGTGTCATTTAGGTGTTCTTGCTCACCTCCCTACCATTGGGGTCGGAAAGAATGTAAGGTCTTCAGAACCAGAAGCTCCGAAATTTATGATGTTTTTTTGTTTTGCCTACATTTCCATCTGATCGTTAATGTGGAATGTATGATTTTGTAACATTTTCAGCTGCATCATGTGGATGGTCTGAATCAATCTGAGGTTAGACGGTCGCTTCAGCTCAAAGAAAACGAGCATGAGCAAGTTATCACTTTGGTAGGAAACTCTGGATTTACATGGGGAGTAGTAAGTTACTTTGACTGAACATCTACTGTCGTTGTTGTGTCTATTTGGTAATACGGCTTTATATTAGTAGTGATTAATCAGTTTAGCAACGAAACTTCTCCATAGTTGTGGTTTTGATAATCTTTTGTAAGAAAGTGAATTTAATGGTCAAGTTTTTACATATTACTTTCGACAGGGATTAAGGCCAACTCTGAGTTCTCTGAAGCCCATATATGTTTCAGTTGGCCATCGCATATCACTTGACTCTGCCGTTAAAATTGTCAAGATGACCTGCAAGTACCGTGTTCCGGAACCTATTAGACAGGTAAGTGATGCATTTATTCTGTAGGGGTGTGAAAAGTGGAAAGTAGAAGTCATTAAGTATACACTCTACTATATGCAGGCCGATATGAGATCAAGAGCATATCTCCAGGAGCATCAAACTGAGTCTTTTAAAAGAACTGGGACTGTGACAACCGGATCAGGTAACTTCTGATGTTTCCTCCGCCGTTCTAAAGTACTGACTACTGATAAGTAGCTCACATGCCCCTTTGCTTCCTTTTTTTGTCTACCAGACTGAACCTTAATCTCTCAAACAACCAAGGAAGGAAGTGAACACTATTCCACATTACATAGAACTCTTCAAAGTCTTTAAAGATTGTTAAATGGACAGATTCAGGGCACTGAAGATCCGCCCCAATTTTCTCCTTCATTTATCTCACTGACTTGAAGATTGCAAGCTAACCAAGATAATCAACAAACCGATGAATCATGTTGTATCCAATACATTGGAATTTCCTTTCCATACTGTAAACATAGTGTAAATAGAAAGGGTAGGGAACTGGTCTAATGTCTTGGTAATTTGGTTGTTTGGGGACTGTTTGTTATATTGGGAGAGTTTGAGGTATTGGTATTTTTTTTATTGGTTCTTTGGTTTGGTATTTTTTTTGGTTCAGCGTCTGTACTCGTTTCTCATTCAATAAGAAGGTAGAATCGTTTCTCAATCTTAATAAGAGACTGTTAATGGTGGACAGATTCACAGCAGGGAAGCCTTATGGATTCCTCTTTTGCAGCAAACCTGCTTAGCTAAAAGGTTGTTTTATTTGAAAATATCCGAAACTTAAGGTTTGGCTTTAACAGCTAATTTGCATAGTGAAAGATGAGAATTTTGGTCATTATGAGCTCTGATTACTAACAAGAGAGGCAAAAGAGAGACAGTGAACACCAAACTGCTCTTGAGAAATAAGAGATCAAACAAGTAATACACAAATCTCACTGTATCTTTCTGTTTCTCCATAAACACCAAAGTTTTGCAAAAGAAAAAGGAAAAAAGAAATAATCAAACCCATCAAATTTTCTTCAGTATTCACAGAATAATATACAGACAGATGGAGAAAAGTAGCAGCATTGCCGTTGATCGTGTAAGAGGCATCATGGCACTTGCTTCACTAGCATCTTCTGACTTGATCATTATCTTGAATTTGCAACTCCCAACAGAAGGATCCCTAGTACTGACTATAGAGAGTCCCGGGAACTTACACGCACTGTCGAGCTGATTACTTACCTGGTAATAGCTATTGAACGCATACGAAACATTCTGTGCTAGATTCAGGTTACCACAAGAGGAGCCATACCCAAGACTGGTGCAATCAGCATGATCACAAGCGTAGCTCACACTTGGTCCCAACTGAGGATCCTGAAGATTAGCATTTGGCGCAAGAATACACCATTTCTTAGCCAAATAATGCACATCCTTAGCAGGGATCAGCCCGTTACCATTGCCAAGACTGAGCTGATACTTAGGCTGTCCATCAATGTAAAAAATCCCCCAGTGTCTTTCAAAGTTTCCAGGCTGAATGCTTTTGGCATCTTCATCAATAAGACCAAACAAGTAAGCATCCATTGCTCCAGGTCTCATAGGTGTTCCTTTATTAGCCTTTTGACGGTTCATAAACCCTTGGTTGTACCGCCTCGCATACATCATGTTTGCGTTCTTATCTCCATCTGTTGGCCACCCAACTTCCCCAACAATAATAGTCAAATTCCCAAACCCATTCTTCTGCAAAGACCAAACGAGTGTATCGTAGTTTGCATCAAGAACATTGTCGTAGATTCTTCCATTGTCGTTAATAGGAGTACCGGTTCCATCAAAGAAAGCAAACTCCACAGGGAAATTCGGATCGTTGTATAGACTGATGAAAGGGTAAATGTTGATAGTGAATGGTGCTTGGTTATCACTCAGAAACTTAACAATGTTTAACATGAGATCGCGGATTTCAGGCCTGAAATCTCCATCCGAAGGGAGATTAGACGCACTTTGGTACACATCCGCGTTAAGTGGCACTGTGACTTTCACCTGAGTCGCTAAACCAGCTTTGATGATAGCAGATTGTATATTCTGAAGAGCAGGAAGAGTTATACTCTCAAATGTTCCGTTGAATGCTTTTAGGAATGGCTCATTCCCAACTGCCACATACCTATATTTAAACACAAATCGATCAAAATTATCTTCAAAGTTTCTATTTTTTCTTCTCATCAACTGTAATCCAAATCTAAAGACTGAAACTTTAGTATCTAAAATCATCTATTTCCAAAGCTATTGATTGATCAAAACAAACAAAGAGAACATGATGTTTGAATGACGTATAAGCACAAACCTGATATCGACGCCATTAGAGGAGACATGAGCAGAGACATTCTGAGAGACCCATCTCTCTGCGGCTGCAACGCTACCGGCTAAAGGAGCAAGTAAGTCGTTAGGGATTCCGACCATAACCTGAATCCCTGACCGACTTAAAGCTTTGAGAATCGCAGAGTCGGCCTCGAAAAGTTTCACCTTTTGGATACCGTTATCCCGGAGAAGTCTCACCACCGTAGCCGGAGGCAGGGGATGCCTCGCCTGAGAGCCCCAGTTCACACCAATCCCTTCAACTTCAATTAACAAACTTCCGTACAACAAAGTGGTTACGAAAAAGACAGCAAAAACACCTTTGGACAACATCGGAACCGAGAGATAAATCGTAAACACCCCTATACCCAAAAAGGCAAAAACCAGTAACGAAAAACAAAACCCAAAAAGAAACACCGCAAAAAAAAAAAAAGAACTTTGTGGTTAAAACGAGCTCAGATGTAAGAATCGGTGAAGTGGGAATCTTGGGTTTGAAGAAGAAGAACAGTAGAACAGAGCTGAGTTGTGGCTTACTTCAATAAACCGAGTATCGAGAAAATATCAATACAGTACTATAGTACTCCCTCTGTTCCTGAAAATTTGATGTTTTAGAGTTTACACATATATTAAGAAACAATCATGATTTAATCATTTCATAATTTTTTCTTTTTATTAAATATTTTTAGTAATGTATGAACCAATAGTAATCTAAAACAGTTAATTATTTGTAATCATTACGCCTTGAAATCTACGATTTGTTAATATCAATTAATAAAAAATAAAATAAAAAGCTAGAAAATCAATCTTTGTGGAACAAACCTAAAATAGTAGAACATCAAACTTTCAGGAACGGAGGGAGTATATTATTTCTTTTTGGGTCGAATAAGTTCTCTTCTCTCAGGTGGATTTTGGAGAAGAAGATGAAGAGGAAGAGGTTTCAAGAATTAAGATGGAGAATCTGAAATACACGAGACGTGAAAATGTTTTTTATTGTCTGTCCCAGTGTCTGAAAGGCGGTGTATGCTTTTTGATTGGTACCACCAATCAAAAATTAAATTAGCAGAATATTATGCAAATGTTTAACAAAAAAAAAAAAGACTAAAAGAGAAACATTAATGTTTTTTTAAATTTACGTTAGGTGTTGGTCTACTTCGTAGCTGTAGCTCTTCACAATACCACTCAAATCTATTAATTATACGATACGATATGATAATTTAAAAAAGAAAAAACCGTCAAATATAGCAATCATAGATATAATCAGCGTCTAGATTTGGGTTTACCATCTTTGTTATATTGTTACAGTTATTATAATCAGCGAGTATGATACATGAGAGAGTATTAATTTTGAATAGAACTTACTAAAAAAGTAAAAATTGTTAGATTTTGTCTGTGTTAGATTTATAGGCAGCTACGAAATAAAGATGGTTTGATGTGAGGCAGGGGCATGTGGGTGAGGTCAAGCGGACGTGTAAGAGAAATAGAAAGAGAAAACAAATTAAAATGAGGAATCTTTGAAAGATTGTGGAGCAGTGTTACCAGATGCTCTCAGAATTAAAGTTGAATGAAATGTAAACAAACTTAAATGTTTTTTTTTTTTTGGGAAAGGAATATTGAGTCAAACAGAGAATGAAAGAGGTCGGCAGGTCCGGTTGGTGAAGAACCATTTATTCTCCTTTCCTACTCCCTTACTGTATAGTTATTGAGCCCATTCTCGGCCCATTGATATTTTTGAATTTTTGAGAGTTGAACAATTGACATGAAACTTAACATGTATACATCATCATAATTCACAACTTCACAATTTATATATCTATGATATGATTATGTTGGAAACCCATAGAACTACGTAATGATCTATTTTAAAAATCTTTTTAGAGTTGTTAGCATATTGGGAAATATCGAAGCAATAAACAACAAATCCAAACATGACTTGAACATCCACTCAATTGTTAAGATTTCCATCTCACGAAGGTAATGAATACTTTTCCACGTTTTTGAATAGATCTCTGCAATGTCTTTACCCAAGATTGTCCAATGGTGGACATGTTATTCACTGATTCTGCAATGACTTTCTTCTTTCTCAACAACATTATCAGTCACCACTCATAAAATCATTTATTTCTTTGATCAAGTAATGTTTTCAATTCCTACGAGTAAAATAACAAAACCCTGCTCGAATAAAATTCTACAATCGAATTCAATAAGCCAAAACGTGGTCTAGAAGACGAGAAAAAAAGAAGCAAAAGATAAGAAATTTCGGGTGGACGAGTCCATTTATCGTATTCGATTTAACCAAATATGTCAAACCAAAATCATTTTATCCACTCGTAGTCGTAGATAGGTTTAAACTTACACTACAATCTAAGAAGCAAGTAGAAGAGCTGTCATCTTTTCTAAGAGACAACAAAAGCCCATTTAGAATCATACTTGGGATGATTAGAGTGAAAAGAGAAAGTGATCGGTTGGTTTGATTTGATTTATTTGTGTTGAAGATTATTAAACTTAGACAAGCATCATTAAAATGAAATAATTCAGATGAAAAAAGGCAAGTGATAAGGACAAGTAAAGCTCGAGGGGCAGAAGAGAGAGCGTGGCCAATTTTGGTCTCTGTATATTGTTACTTTTGTGTGTGTGTTTCACGATCTTTCACCGACCGGATAACGCATCTAGCATCCTGGTGGGATCCCTGGTATCGTTCAAATCAAATAATAGTACATTTGAATAAAAGGATAATATGTTTTTTTTTTTTTTGTTTTTGTTTCTTGGTTTAGTGCAAAATGCAAATTATGTTAACAAATAAATATAGTTCACACGACCATATATAACGACAATATAATTTTATTTGCTAACTGTAGATGTCCATATAAAGTATCTCAAGTAATAATCTTGGTAAATCCATCTAAAGTTTTTTTTTTGACAGTAAGTTTATTTTTGGATCATAGTTTATAGAAAAATGATTAGAGCGGATTGTATATATATATATTTGTTTAATTATAATTATAATGGGAAAATGATTGTATATATATATTTGTTAAATTATAATATATCTCTATAATAACAATGTAAGGAAGTAAATCTGTTGAAATCTCTATTTGATAAATTATGTAGATTTGCATATATATATATATATATTGATTTTGAAAATAAAAAGAAGAAGATAAATATGGAATCTTTTTATTTATATTTGGATATAATCTAAAGGTCAACAGAATCTTGAAAGAGCCCAAAACAACAACACTCGGAGACTTTTTAGGGCTCATCCCCGAATTATCAGTGCAAGTGGGTAACAAGTTTATCAATTCAACCAAATAAAAACTAAGCAACCTAACCACAAATCTCCAGATTCATTCGTCGTCTCGGTGAGTGTTTCTTTTACAGTTCGATTTTCCGACTCTGTTCGTTGATTCGATTTTCAAATCTGATTTAATATCTTTGTTGTGATCGGATGTATTATATAGGTTCGTTAGACGGAGAAGAAGTGACAAATATGGCGGTTAGTATGAAACAAATGTCGTTGGTCGTCTCTGCTTTGGGCGTCTTGTCCTTTGTTTTGGGAGTTATCGCGGAGAACAAGAAGGTACAAAAAGTCATCTCCTTTTGATTACTCCGTTTGAGAACTTTGAATTTCCTTTTTGTTTTGGGATGATGATTTTGGTTGTTGTTATTTGTGTTTATCTACTACATAAAACAATCCATGTTGCTGAATGACGGAAATCAGATTTGTTTTTATCACAGGACAAAATCACTCTGAAATTGTATGTATCAAACAGTGATCTAATCTAACGATGGAGAGAATTCAATTGTTTTGATTTCCTGTTTCTTTAGGATTCTTTTTGGTTGTTATTTGTTCTTGTGCTATATCTTGTGAATGGAGGATGTTAGATGTGTATGAAACATTGATCTTGTGCACTACTCTTTTTTCACAGCTTCATAATTGTATCTAATGATTGGGAAATTAAATGTTTGATCTTAAATTTGATTGTCTACTGAAACCTTAGCTAAATCTATGACCTTATCATTGTCACTGATCCCTCCAGGAGATTGTATGTCAAAAGCTTTTCACATTGGTTACAAGTGCATAAACCACTTCGGCTTTCTTATTCTTATGTGTTATTGATTGTGTGATTTGTTTCTGTTCTTTGTATTTTCACCTGTAGCCTGCGTCTGGGACTCCGATAAGCGGAAAGGGAGTAGTTATCTGCAAATATCCATCTGATCCAACTGTTGTCTTGGGATACCTTTCTGCTGCTTTTCTCCTTGCCTGCACTGTAGCAGGATACAAATCCTTGTTCATCTCTTACAAGGGAAAATCCGTTCCTAACTCTGTCTTGTTCAAAAGCACCAGCTTCTCTGTGTTCTTCAACATTGCCTTGTAAGCATTTCCTCTTCTTTTCTAGAACACAGTATCTAAACCATTACAAAAAGACTCTTGGATTCCGGTATAATGAAGACTAATAAAAGGGTCCTTTTTTGGCCTATGGTATTGTCTTGTAGGATAACATCTGGACTGGCCTTGTCTCTGTTGCTCTGGCCAACCATTACAGAGCAACTTCACTTGACCCGTAATGTTCACCGAAACTTAGAGAGCAGTTGCCCCACGGCTAAGACCGGTCTGCTTGGTGGAGGTGCCTTTGTGTCTTTGGACTCATGCCTTTTCTGGTTGGTTGCTCTGATGCTCGCTGATAACGCCCGTGAAGACCATTTTGATGAAGTTGAAAACAGAAACATGGATGGCAACTCTGCCTCGAGGGATGTTAATCTCAAGATTGATGCTTGAGAGAATGATATGCTTTGTTGGTATTGGGTATAAGAAGGGTTTTTAGTTTGTTTTCTACTTGTTTGATTAGGACAATAATCATTTGTTTCTTCTGGTTTTCTACTTTTTCTTTTTTAATGATTTGCTAGAATGTTATGAAACCCATCTCTGCACCTTGATGCATTGTGATTCATAAGTTGTATATGTATCTACTCAGATTCTTGATTAAATAATCTTTTGGTTATATCTGTTACTTTGACATAATTTATACGAGAAGACTATTCAAATCACACTAATTCAACATTTTTCTCTCTAAGAAGAATATGCAAATTTTCTAGCTTAGCTTGAATTGGGGTGGTACCATCACAAACCATTAGACTCTCTTTTTTTTTTTGTCAAAACCAATCAAAAAGTTTTATCAATTTGATCCAAAAATCAAAGAACTTCTTTTTACGCCGGTATAGTGGTAAATGGGCCTAGGTATAAAGCCCATTAGAAAAGCCCGATATAAACTGCACAGTGGTAAAATTAAACCCTGTCAAAAACCCTTTCGTTTTCGTCGTCGGCTCGAGAAAAAAAAGATTCACTTGCATCTTTCAATTCCTTCACTCCCTGTGAGCTCGATAGAGAGAAGAGAGAAGAGATGCCGCTCGGAGAAAGAGGAGGATGGGAGCGGACCGAGTCCAGGTACTGCGGCGTTGAGACTGATTTCTCCAACGATGTTACTCATCTTCTCAACTTCAACATTTCCACCGGCGGTTTTGACTATATCCTCGCTCCTCTGGTTTGTTTCTTTCTTCCTCCCGATTCTCACGTCGTTGTCTGTTATTTCTGTATCAATTCGGATTTGAAAGTTTATTTCTTTAAAGGAGTTTACTTCTTTCTCTTCTTGCAGGTGAACCCTTCGTATAGGCCGAGCTTGGTGGAAGGAAATGGTGTAGATACTCAGGTTCTTCCAGTCTCTGGTTCTGACTTAGTCTTGTCACCGTCTCAATGGAGCAGTCATGTTGTTGGTATGCTTCGATTTGCTTCTCCCCCGTGTGCTTTTGTGCTGCTTATGAATGATGGATTTTGATATTAGTAGTAAATTTTCATTCTCTAGGAAAAGTTAGTTCGTGGATTGACTTGGATTCTGAAGATGAGGTCTTGCGGATGGATTCAGAAACCACATTGAAGCAAGAAATAGCTTGGGCTACTCATCTCTCCTTACAGGTGCTTGTTAATCTATGTATTTAACTCGCCCTTTACTCTCTTTGTTTTCTTTGCTGCAAAGTGATTACTTCTTGCAGTTTCAGATTGTTATGCTTGAGGATAAATTCTCTTGTTAATGTCTGCTATATTAATATGTTGCAGGCATGTCTTCTTCCCACTCCTAAAGGGAAATCGTGCGCCAATTATGCCAGATGTGTGAACCAGATCTTACAAGGGCTGACTACCTTGCAGGTGGTTTACGAGTTTCTTGCTGCCTTTCTAGCTTTATTTAAGATGAGACTTTTCTTCACAAGATCAAGCTCTAACGTTTAGTTGCTTCTTCTTTGTTTTGTTTAAATGTCATTCTACACTGAAGTTATGGCTGAGGGTTCCACTGGTGAAGTCTGATGGTGATTCAATGGATGATACCTCAGAGGGACTGGTAAGACGTAGGATCAAATTTGATGCAAACTTAAGATTATTCGTACTTTTTTTGCCTTATCAAATTTTTGAGGGACTCTCTAGTGCGGAGCCCTTGGGATCACTTGATGCTGCCTGTGTTAATAGGCCTTTTAAACCTATAAATACAAATAAATTTCAGTATTTGTTGACGTTTTTGTAGGCTTTAATATATACTCTCTTCTATGCAGAATGATTCCTGGGAGCTGTGGAATTCGTTTCGTCTTCTTTGTGAGCATGACAGTAAGCTGTCTGTTGCTCTTGATGTTCTGTGAGTTGAGAGAAACTCTTGATTATTTTTGTTAATGTGGACCCAAAGTTTTATTTCCACTCTTCAAACATAACACCATTTCCTTCATCTAGGAGTACGCTACCCTCTGAAACTTCACTAGGGCGCTGGATGGGAGAGTCTGTGAGAGCAGCCATATTAAGCACTGATGTAAGTGCCTGAGTTTTTGCCGCATAATTAGAAACTCCACTTTGAAGTATTGTAAATCACAAAATGCTTTTAATTTGGGTTTGCAGGCTTTCTTAACAAATGCTCGGGGTTATCCTTGCTTGTCAAAACGCCACCAAAAGTTAATAGCAGGATTTTTTGATCATGCTGCCCAGGTAACAAACATCCCACTCTTTGTGATATATAACACTTAATTCAAATCTTCTTTTGACTCATAAAATAGATCTATTTCACTCGATTCTGGTGCTAATTATCATCAATCTTGTAAATGCAGGTTGTAATTTCTGGAAAGCCTGTTCATAATCTTCAAAAGTCTCTTGATTCTAACACGGAGGGTAATTTTCTGTATAATCTCTTGTCCGCTGACAATTAGCTATTATCCTCTGGCCTTGTTTTCCATAGCTCAATTTATCACGGGCATTGGTTATAATCATAGTTGATACCAGCTAAATATTTCTTACGGCCATTGTTTTCAGGTACAGCGAAGAATCCTCTGCGGATATATTTGGACTATGTTGCTTTTCTGTTCCAAAAGATGGAAGCACTTCCTGAACAGGAACGCATCGAGGTTGCTTGTTGAATCCTTTTGTCTCAGTTCCTTTTATGTTTTTTACCACTAGATGCAAGCAGGCAGATACAACTCAATTCTGACAGTTATCTTACTCTTTTTTACAGCTGGGCTACAGGGATTTTTTGCAGGCACCCCTGCAGGTTAGCCTCTTTTCATAAGTAATACTGATTTCTGTCTGTTCATCATAAGAATTTACCCCGTTTGAAAATGCTCTATTCTTACTGTATAAATGCTCCATTCTTACTTTAAAATACTCTATTCTTACTGTAAGGAGCCTCTACTGTTTTTTGAAATGAATACAGCCTCTTATGGACAACCTTGAAGCCCAAACCTATGAGACGTTTGAGAGAGACTCTGTTAAATACATCCAAGTATGTTGCGTATGCTAGATTTTCCCCCTTACCTCTTAAATTTTAACACCTTTGGTTTCTAGATTTCCCCTCTTCTATTTCTGCTTTGGTTTGCAGAGGAGAGTGGATTGATGGATGAATCATGTTGAACAATTCAATATTGTACCAATATTCAGCCTGGTTGTTTTTTTAAAACATACTTAACTCTCGTCCATCTTTGTGTTGTTAGTATCAAAGAGCAGTTGAGAAAGCCTTGGTGGACAGGGTACCTGATGAAAAAGCATCCGAGTTGACTACTGTATGTCACATGTCAATGTTTTGCTTACAAAGTGGCATTTTCATTGATGTTGTGTTTCTGGTATTTTTATGAAATACTTCCGTAGAATTAAAGTATTAGTTTTTAGGTCTTGATGGTTGTAGGGGCAGGAAGAGGACCCCTTGTGAGGGCATCTTTACAGGTAAATTCCTGATGCAATTCCATGCTGATCACAAGGAGACGTTGAAATTCATTTGTTTCCTTAACCTATTGTGTTCATTGTTTCCTTTTCCAGGCAGCAGAAGAAACTGATCGGAAGTTGAAAGTTTATGCGGTGGAAAAGAATCCTAATGCAGTTGTAACACTCCATGTGAGTTGTCACCACCGAGTCAATTTAAACATGGCTAATTTTTTTTATTGTGATTTCTTTGGGACGTGCGGTGTAGTTTCTAATTAACTCAGAGCATTGTTATCCTTTCTGACAGAATTTGGTTAAGATGGAAGGATGGGAAGGCATTGTTACGATAATATCCTGTGACATGCGTTTTTGGAGTGCTCCTGAACAAGCTGATATATTGGTCAGTATGTATAGATTTTTGTAGCTAATACTCATGCCGACATTATACAGTTCATCTAATTCTCGTTTGCCTCTTCTATGCAGGTTAGCGAACTGCTGGGTTCTTTTGGAGACAATGAACTTTCTCCTGAGTGTCTCGATGGAGCCCAAAGGTTTCTGAAGCCAGACGGAATTTCTATACCATCCTCGTATGTGTACTCCTTCGCTTAGTTGAATTTCCATAAGAAACTCATCTGTCCTTTTGTTTCTCTAACTGGAGAGGAACATCATTATTACTTTTTCAGGTATACAAGTTTCATACAGCCTGTAACAGCTTCGAAGCTTTACAATGACGTAGGTTCTTCTGCTTTTTGCTATGTGCTCTTAATCACAAGAAATTTCAGATTAACTCAAGTCTTTTTCATCCATTGCAGGTTAGGGCACATAAAGATCTTGCACACTTTGAAACTGCTTATGTTGTCAAGCTGCATAGTGTAGCAAAACTTGCCCCTTCCCAATCTGTGAGTCTCTTTCTGTCTGCAGCATTGTCTAATAGCTTAAAGTGTTCTCTTTGAATAGATTTATGCAAGTCTTGTCGATCTCTCCATCTCAGGAATTTTGGTTTGGTCTCAATTAGGTTTTCACATTTACTCATCCAAACTTCTCAACAAAAGCCAACAACCAACGGTATAAGAAGCTTCAGTTCAATCTACCAAGCGACGCTGGCTCAGCTTTGGTGCATGGTACGTGCTTTTTTCTAATCTTTTTTGTTTGTTAATTGAAATTTTCATCTACATTTTCCGTAATCTGAAACTGAATCTACTGCGATCATAACAGGATTCGCTGGCTATTTTGATTCCGTCCTTTATAAAGATGTTCATCTTGGGATCGAGCCTACAACAGCAACACCAAACATGTTCAGCTGGTAATGGCTCAATGTTTATAAATGGTTAAACAGTTAATTCGCTCTCTTCTATCGAACCTCTTACTTAAACCGAGATAATATCCCGTTCCTTTCGGCAGGTTCCCAATCTTTTTCCCATTGAGGAAACCTGTGGAGGTTCACCCTGGTACTCCATTAGAAGTGCACTTTTGGAGGTGTTGTGGTTCCTCAAAGGTAAAAAAGCTGAAACCACAAAGATTCCACACAACTAACTCTCTTTGTCGAAAGAACTATTATTGATCCTCTGATGTTTGGGTTCAGGTTTGGTATGAATGGTCGGTGTCTTCACCTACTCCATCTCCAATGCATAACACCAATGGCCGTTCGTATTGGGTTGGCCTTTAGATTAGGGACTTTGACTGATGATGAAAAAGTTATGTAATCTTATTGTTCTGTACTTTTATGTCACAAGAAAGACCAATGTTTACGAGTGAATTAAATCTCTTTTGACCTTGTTAATGTTTGTACTT